AATATCACACATCCATCTAAATATCCATCAGTTGGGAATAATAGATACAGAGGACTCCAATAGTGGGGAGTGGGGGCAAGGGGTGAAAAGTTACCTATTGGTTACTATGTTCACTACTGGGGTGACAGGTTCAATTAAAGGCCAAACCTCAGCATCACAAAATATACCCATGTAACTAACCTGCACATGTACCCACTGAATCTAAATTTAAAAAAAAAATCAATCAATCAATCATTATCCATCATTGCTCCATCAACTCTCACCTACCAAACTAGAGCTAATGGGTGGGGTGGGGAGCAGAAGTGACAAGTAAGAAGGACCGAAAACATTTTAGAAAATACATTGAACTCAAATTGAAAAAAAAAAAAAAAAGAACATGTTGGATTCAGAAAAATGAATTAGAAAATTTGGAATCATTTATACCAACACATTCAGGAGATGGACAAGCAAACTCCCACTGACGATTGAGCTGCTTAAGAGTTGATACTTACACGTACAATTAAAACTAAAGTTTTTCTCACTGAACTCTGGGTATTTGGTTTAAAAATAAAATAAAACTAAAGATGTGGTGGCTTCTGTCTGTAATCGCAGTACTTCAGGAGGCTGAGGCAGGGGAGACTCTATGAAGCCAGTAGTTCAAGACCAGCCTGGGTCATATAGTGAGACCCTGCGTTTACAAAATATAAGAATAAAAAAATAGCTGGACATGGTAGCATGAGCTTGTAGTCCTAGCTACTTGGGAGGCTGAAATGGGAGAACTGCTTGAGCCTAGGAGTTCAAGGCTGCAATGACCTATAATCACGCCATTGCACTCCAGCTTGAGTGACAGAGTGACACTCTCGCTCTAAAAAAAAAACCCAAAAGTTAAGAAAACATTTTATTTAATAATAATACATAAAGCAACCTTGATATTGGCTCTTTATATTTTATTCTTTTTCTTAAGAAAAAATATTGGCCACACCCTAGGAATGAGTCACAACTGCAGTTTGAAAAATGCTGACATTTTTCAGCAAAGGTACATGAGTATTAGTGCTTTGTGAACTTCCTCAAGGTCATATTTTTACTCTATGTTACTCGTTAAGTTCCTAGCTAATACATTTGCAAAAGCGAACAGCATCTTTCCAGCCCTCTACTTGCACATTTCCTTGGCGTTCTGAATTAGAAACAGGGCAGTCATTCTCTCTAAGAGGGCCAGTGGCAGGTGGGGGCAGCTCACATATACGAGTTCTTCCTAAGTTACACATTCATTTGTTTTGGACTTGCTTATTGGTTGTCACTGTCTTCCACCACAAGAACCTTCTTTGCTTGCATCTCAGACTAATTCTTCTTGGTTTCAGTATTTATTCAGTCAACTGAAAGTTGCTAATTTAGGAATACCAGGATAAGCAAGAGAAACTCTTTACCTGTGTGTAACTCATGGATTAGAAGAAACAGACAGGTATAATAGAGTGAGATGCTGACAGTGTTCCAGCAGTAGCGAAAGATGGGTCTAACTGACAAGGGGTGGAGATGCTTCCTTAGAAGAGATGCATTTGAAAAAGAAATGACCCAATTTTGCCTAGGGTGAGAGACGGCATTCCCGGAAGATGGAACAGCATGCACAAAGGCATGGAGGCAGGAGGTAGGGAGAACACAAAATTCCATTTGTCTGGAGTTCCAGGAGAGTGATGCGAGACGAGGCTGCTGTGCACATCTGTAGGCCTGGGGAGCCCCCCAGGTGACTCTGTGCTCTCACTCTTCTCTGTAAGGAAGCAGGAAGGGGTAGGTTCAGATTTCAGGGTCTCAGTTTTACTTCTTTCTACTAGACTACAGCTCTACCGAAAGTCTGGAATTGTCTCATTATCTGAATCCTCACTGCCTGGTACAGGGGCTGGTATGGACCCAATAGACATTCAGAGGAATATCAGACAATTAGTTCACCCTTGTAGCCACACTTGGCAGATATCTGAAACTCAGGTGGAGTCTGCACTCTTGTCTTCAAGATGAATAAAATAAAATTGCAGCTTTTTTGAAATAACTTAGGAAGATAAATATTCTCTCTTATTAAGAACTCTTTTCAAAACTACCCATTCCTGGAAAGATATTTCAAATGGATTAATATCTTAAAATTATTATTATTTTACCTCCCAGATTCTACAGATAAGGAAAATAGAGATGAATACAACATAGAAGTATAAAAATGATTGACTTGTGATATCCCAGTTTTCTATTTCTTACCAGTGGCTGATGCTCAATAACAACTTTAGGATTTTGATTATTTTAAAATAAATTTATTTTGGATAAGTGTGAATGTCATCAAAGAAATAATGGCATGTTAGAGTCGGGTGATCCTTTTGAGCTTATTCTGGCTTATCCCTCTCATCTTATAGTTAAGGAAAGTGGAGCCTAAATAAGTTTATGTAAGTTGCCCCAAATTTTCTTTACTTTTTTTTTTTTTTTTTTTTGAGACAGGGTTTGGCTCTTCTTGCCCAGGCTGGAGTGCAATGGCGTCATCTCGGCTCACCACAACCTCCGCCTTCCGGGTTCAAGTGATTCTCCTGCCTCAGCCTCCCAAGTAGCTGGGATTACAGGCATGTGCCACCACTCTCGGCTAATTTTGTATTTTTAGTAGAGACGGGGTATCTCCATGTTGGTCAGGCTGGCTGGTCTCGAACTCCCGACCTCAGGTGATCTGTCTGCCTCGGCCTCCCAAAGTGCTGGGATTACAGACGTAAGCCACTGTACCCGGCCCAAATTTTCGAATAGACAATGAAAATCAACCAAACAGCCATGACTCAGAGCAAGTTACCTTTTTGATGTGTGTCCCTTTAGTCTCTTAAAAATATGTATGTGTATTCTCATACTAAAACTTATCATACTCTTTATATTTTTGGATCTTGCCTTTTTCATTCAATGTACTTTGAAGATTTTCTCCAAATTTATTCACATGTTTATTACTCACATATCCACATATTTCATGGCTCCAAAATATCTCATTGTATGGATAAACCATAATTTAAGTTGACCTCTTCCCTGCTGTTAGGTATTTAGGTTGTGAGTTTTTGTTGTTGTATTGGCAATAAAACCTTTGCATAAATCACGAGGCTTCTTTCTAGTTATTTCTTAAGGGAGAAATTACTGGTTTGACCAAAGGGGATGGACATGTCTAAGGCTTCAGATATATACTGCCAAGCTGACTAGCCCAGGGAAGTTGTACAAATTTGCCATAATCAATATGTTTCATAACATTTTAAAAATCTTAGCAACTTTAAACCTAATAGGTCAGTATCAGTAATTCCAGTTAACGTAAGAGTTCAAATTTGCCCTAGTTTTAATCATTTTAAAAAATTTATAATTTTAAAATGATAATAATTATGATGCAACCATGACTTTGAGAAGCCAAGAGATCTTATTCTCAAATTGTAAATGAATCCGTAAGCGCTAAGAGAGAAGAAACAGGCTATTAAATGGCCAAAGATCAAATGTGAAATGTCCAGGAGTTTTCCTGTAGGGGTCACTGTTACCGTCAATGTATGCCTGCAAGAAAACTAAAACAGTCACACATTAAAGAATGTATGCACATTTTAAATGTCTGATTCCTCTACATTTCTTAAACTGCAAAATAATAAGAACATGCAGCCAGATAGCATCGCGATACCAACTTCTTTATATAATGACACATACCATTCCACTCAATGTGCTCCTCAGTTTGAATTGATAAAATACTTGCTACTCAAAGGCACTTATGCCTGCTCTTAGTAGAGGAAGCATTATCTAATTGCCTAACGCTCCATTAGCATATAGCCTATACTGACTTGAGAAGGAAAGAACGTTCATTGCTGTGGCCAATAGGATCCCCTCTCTCCACCTTCCCTTTTCTGCATCAAAATCTACACAGACAAAAGTCAGATGTTGTAATATGCATTTTATTGTGCCACTTAAGTACAAGAAGTGCTTTTTAATTTTAAGTTTTTATTAATGCTGCTCAAACTTGACCCTGATGTTCCAGGATCCTGGCCAAGGTGTCAGTGAGGACACAATCGCAAGGCGGCTGTTAGGTTTCGGGGCTGGGCAGGAAACTTGCCAGGTGCTACCAGGAACGTGTCAGCCCTTTCTACAAAGCAGGTGTCTTTCCCATCATAAAATGCAAAGCAATCAGCCGTTCCCTTTCTCCCCAGCCCCCTCGTCCGGAGGCCGAGAGGATATTTACCCTGGGCTCTTGCAGTTCTCTTATAATTGAACCCAGCGGCGGCTCCTTCTCCAAGCTCAGAGCCACCAGGCTCGGCCCAGCCACACTTTACAGGCAAATTGCCGAGCTGACCAAGCTGGGCCAAGGCCAAGCTGGGCCCGGGCGTCCAGGAAGCGGAAGGAGCCCGTCTAGGAAACCCGGGTGTGCGTGGTGGTGAGGCTGGTGGGCAAGCTTCCACTTCAGGTCCGGGTAGAACTTCGGGGCTTTGCGTCTCGCAGCAGACGCTTGGCGCCGCTCCTCTTCCAGCCTGCTGCCGCCTTCTCCGAGCGAGTGAGTTGGCGAAACTCACTCACCTGTCAGAACCCGGGGCCTGGCTGCCAGAGCGCGCAGGTTACAGCAAACTTCGGCCGGGACGCCACAGCCAGGGAGGCGAGTGTGGGGGCTGCTCCCTGAGAAGCCAGCTCCCACCCCCTGCTCCGCGCCCCCTGCTGGTCCCCTTTCACTTCCAGGCGCCTTCGGCTTGGGGTGCCTAGAAGGCCAAGTCCAGCAGACGCCAGGGCTGCAGGTTCGAGATGCTCCGCCTCCTCCTGCCACTTAGAGCCACAAGCGCTAGCGGGAACTTTTCCATTTGGTCTTAGTCTGCGGTCACTGCTGAGGTTTTCAGAACTTTCCAGGCAAAGGCCAGCCAGGTCCTTTGCCTCCAACCCACTCCGCGCCTACCTCCCGCCTGGGGACACCCCTAGGCCCAGGAGATCCTACTCCCCCCGGAGCACCGACGTTCCAACTGTCGTCTGCGCCCCCTGACTGCTGTCCGGCCCCTGTGCCAAGGGGCGCTCCCAACTTCTCGACTCGCCCTCCTCCTCCCCAGAGCGAGAGTGGGGCAGGCTGAGCCCGGATCCGGGGTGCACTCGAGTGTTCCCAGCACTCGGGATTCGCCCCCGCCTCAGAGCCGACTTTCGAGGGGGAATTGAGCCTCGGAGGTCCAGGCCTGTTAGTCCAAAGCTCAAATCGGCCCCGGTCTTTCCATACCCCTGTGCCCGTCGCGTGCTGGCCGGGTGAGTGGCCGGGCCGAAGATTCGAGTGCTCGGGGCCGCGTCGCCCCGTCGGGTGCTGAGCTGAGCCCACCATGGCTGGCTGCTGCTGCCTGTCTGCGGAGGAGAAGGAGTCGCAGCGCATCAGTGCGGAGATCGAGCGGCAGCTTCGTCGGGACAAGAAGGACGCGCGCCGCGAGCTCAAGCTGCTGCTGCTGGGTGAGTGGCTGCGTCTCCGACCCCCGCGAGCCAGGCGTTCCCCTCCCGAGCCTTCCCGGCCGCTCTACTGGCCCGGACCCGCGCGGCCCTGGAGCCCACCGGAGTGCAGGACGGCTTCCTCCTCCTCCACCTTGGAGCTCATGGATGCCAGCAACTTCGGGCCTTAGGGCGTCTGTTCTTTACATCTCTGGCTGGGCGACATGAAAACGCACCCCCTTCCCGTGCCCCCAAACGGGACAGGGACCTGTAACACTTGACCTCTTGACCGCTGTAGCCTATGTGTTTCGGTGTGCCCCTCTCCCCAAAACCCCCTCCACTCCTCCGCCCGCAGCACACCCAGCTTGGGGTCTATGGTGACCCACATCTTGGGTTCAGAACGGGCTAGCTCTGACCCGCACGCTTTCAGTTCTAGATGAAGCATCTTGAGAATTTACCATGTGCCAGACCGTGCTAAGTTCTTACGGGCATCACCACCTGGTAATGCGGGCAGGTGATATCTCTATTCTAGAGAGTTAAAACATGGAGGCCTGGAGAACTGAACAACTTGCCCTGATTGAGAAAAGGCAAAGCCGATGCTAGGTCAGCTGTGGGGGTGAAGCCCATGCCGTTGCTGCTCCTCTGACCGTGAGCTCCAGGGCCTGCCCCCTATGGGTCCCTTTGGCCAGGCCTTTGTGTTTGCAGCAGACCCAAACCTCCCTTGCTCATCTTGACTCGGTGTGTCCACGCCCTAGGATTTAGGTTGGCTGCCCTGGTGCCTCTGGCCGGTCTTCATCCGGCTCCCTTTGGTCTCTCTGCAAAGGTCTGGGTAGGACATCCACTTTCAAACACAGAAAGAAAACAGTTGAAGGTTTGCCCAAGTTATGCCATGAGGTGAGGATCCCACCTCCTCAGACTTTCTAGAACGCTGTCAACACATTTGCTGTTTGAGGAACGTTTTACCTTTTCTTTCAGACCAAGGTATCAGCTGTCAATTTTTCCACAAAGATTTCAGCTTTTTTGCTTTCGTCCCTTTTGAACAGGAATCTTCTCTTATACCATCTGTTTATTCATCTCTATTCCTTGTATAGGTGTCACCCTCCCAGAAAGCTTCAAGGAAAGAAAAAGTTGATCTGGTTAGTGTGGTATAGAGAAGGCTCTCAGCCAGTACGGCCTTCAGACCTGGGCGGAAGAACCCCCTTACCCTTATCCCCTGGGTTTAAAGGGCCCAGTCTGGCCTTCTGGGGGTTGCGGGGGGTGTGCTCCTCCCCATAGACCTGGAAGTCTGTAGGTCCAAGGGGGCTGGCTACCCAGAGATCACGCTGCCCCCTCCCTCCCAAGACCTGGATGGAATACCCAGCCCAAAGGGCCCCATACCAGCTTCTAAGGCCTGAGCCCTAGAAAGGGCAGGCCTGATCCCTGGAGAGCTCACAAAGGGGCAGCTGTTTGCTGGGGCATAAAAGAGTTTGGAAATGTGGGCTGGATAGGAGAGGAGGGAGTCCCCGTGGGTGCCCAAGAGGCCCCCCTAGGAGAGAGGGAGCTTGGGTGGGGAAGGGAAGGGGCTCTGTTCATGGGCCAGGTCTGCTATTTCTGTGTCTGGCCCATAACTCTGAAGGGTCTGAAAATTCTAAATTGTCCCTGGCCTTCTAGGCTGCTATAAAGCTACTTTTGTCAAGGGAGGAGGAATACATGACAGTTTGCTAGCTTGATTAACACTAGAAAATAACTAGGAGGGGGAGTTTTGTACTTTTGCCCTGAACCCCACAAACCAGAGGGGTCTAGTTGCATATGTACTTTTTTTAAGGGCAGGCTGAACCCTATTTCATTTTGCAATGCTTTGATTTGTCAACATGTGAAGTACAGTGTCCAGAATATACCAGGAGCTTGACAAACGCTGGCTCTCTGTATGAAAAATTGTGCAGTCAGCTGAGCCATACTGTATTGGTAATAAGCCTGTTTGTTTGATGTATAAAATGCTTGCATTGACACACAAAATTGGGGAGGAATGTTTGTAGGTAAATTGTTTGCCTTGAAAGTCACATTAATCAGGGGTGACCCAGGGTCTTCTTCATTTCCCCAGGCCCTTGCTCCAGTCCTCCTCCTACCGCCTTGTGGCACTGTCTGACCTCTGGACACCATTTTCATCTTGCCGAGTTGTGACTAGTACATCCCCTTAGTGAAAACTTTCCTGTGAAAAATAGTTTCCAAAGTACACGGAGCTGTTCAGAACTCCAAGGATGGACTTCAAAACCTCTGATTTATTTCAATCTGTACAGTCCTGGGGCACAGCTCCATTTCTTCTCAAGGAAGAGCCAGTGACTCAGAGGAGAGAGGAATTTTAGGGGAGGGTAGGCACTGTTTTGTCTGAAGTCATGCAATTTGAGTGAAAAATTCACCCATCTCTGGTATATGGATTAGAGCATCCACTGTTCAGGTGTCTCAGTTAAAAACCCCACTTTGCAAACGGGAGTTTGGAATCCTTTTGTGGAGCATGGGATGACCTCCAAAGCCACCATCTCTTTCAAAATGAAGCATGCTTTTGCAACAAAATGATTTTAGGATGTATCCGAAGTGCAGTATTCCTGTTTCTGCTTAATAAAAGCATGGGTTAGCGTCTACTAGGGAAAGATAAAAGCTGTTGTTTGGTTAAGGCTAATAATTGCAAGATGTTGGTGTGACGCCTTCTCATCAGAAAGAGATGGAGAAAATAAAGGAGATGGTTGAATTTAGTAGAAAGAAATTTCTTACCAGTTACTTGCATAAAAGTAGGACAAAAAAGAGTTCTGATGAGAACATTGGTGAGTACTGATCAGCATAGGGAGAAAGTGTTAGGACAATAGCTATTAAATAAGGGAAAATGAGATCTTTTATTGATTTTCCTGTTAAACGCAGATTGGTGAAGTATGGCTTGTTAATTGGGTTGAGTGTTTTAATTCTGGATGCAGAGCTCACCTTGGAGCTCTCTGGAAGGAAGAGGAATTGGTATTTAACACATACTGGCTGAATTAGTTTGCTAGGGCTGCCATAACAAAATACCACAGACTTGGGAGGCTTAAGCAAAGGAAATTAATTTTCTCACAGTTGTGGAGCTGGAAGTCGAAGAGCAAGGTGTTGGCTCGGCAGGTTTGGTTTTTCTGGAGGCCTCTTTCCTTGGCTTGCAGACAGCTGCCTTCTCCCTGTGGCCTCACATGGCCTTTCTTCTGGGCATGCACATCCCTGTCTTTTTCTTTTCTTTTTTTTTTTTTTTTTTTGACACTCTTGAGGCCTCTTTCCTTGGCTTGCAGACAGCTGCCTTCTCCCTGTGGCCTCACATGGCCTTTCTTCTGGGCATGCACATCCCTGTCTTTTTCTTTTCTTTTTTTTTTTTTTTTTTTTGACACTCTTTAGGTTGGAGTTCAGTAGTACAGTCACGGCTTTCTACAGCCTTGACCTCCTGGACTCAAGCAATCTTCCCACCTCAGCCTCCCTAGTAATTGGGATTACAGGTGTGAGCCACCATGCTGGGCTTAATTTTCTTTTCTTTTTCTTAGCTTTTGTTGCCTAGGCTGGTCTCAAACTCCTGGGCTCAAATGATCCCTCTGCCTCAACTTCTCAAAGGGTTGGGATTACAGGCGTGAGCCACTGTGCCAGGCCACTTCGTTTTATAAGGACGCCAGTTCCTATTGTATTAGGGCTCCACTCATTTTAATCACCTCTCTAAAGACATTATCTTCAAATACAGTTACATTCTGAGGTACTAGTGGTTGGGATTTCAACATATAAGCTTTGGCGGGAGGACTAAGTTCAGCCAGAAACAATAGTGTAGAGATGAAAAATGTAGATTCTTAGGCCAGTCTGCCTGGGTTTGAACCCTAGCCCTATAGTGTCTTAGCTGTGGACTAACTTCTCCAGGCTTTGGATGGCAGTGAGTGGTCAGTGTCGGCTATCATCACTGTTTTTGAATATCTTCAGGTCCTAGAGAGGTGTCGTTTTCCATTTTTAGTTGACCAACTATGGGTTGCATAGAAGTTTGTGTAAGTTGTTCTGGTAGTGCTTTAACAGAAATGTTTTGCTTTGAGTTTCCCTTAGTGTTTTCTGAGCTTAAAATCTCTCTTCCTACTTACACCAAAAAGTTGAAAATCTGGTCCCAAAAAGTTTTACTGGATTGATTATAACAAGATCCCATTTTAGAATTAGCTATCATGTTCCTGGGCAGGAAGTCCGTTCCAGAAAATGGTGCAAATAATCTGAGTTTCAACATAGAAAGTGACAACACTGGCTGGGTGCAGTGGCTTACCCTGTAATCCCAGCACTTTGGGAGGCTGAGGTGGGTGGATCGCCTGAGATCGGGAGTTCGAGACCAGCCTGATCAACATGGAGAAACCCCGTCTCTACTAAAAATACAAAATTAGCCGGGCATGGTGGCACATGCCTGTAATCCCAGCTTCTCAGGAGGTTGAGGCAAGAGAAATTGCTTGAACCTGGGAGGCAGAGGTTGCAGTGAGCCGAGTTCGTGCCATTGCACTCCAGCCTGGGCAATAAGAGCAAAACTGTCTCAGAAAAAAAAAGAAAGGAAAGAGACAGAAAGAGAAAGAGGAAGAAAGAAAAAATGACAACACCTTCCTACTCTGTGAATTCCCATTCTGTGAAGGAGAAAAGGAATGAAATGGTAAATATGCCCGCGTTCCTTTATCTGAGCTTAGTTCAATGCAACATCCTTTCCCAAGGTGCCAGCCACAGGGCAGAGATTCCTTCCCAAGGGCTGAGTTGGAGAAGGACAGTTCACAAATAGCTGTTATGAGGAAGATGGACATAAAAGCTTAGATTAAGAGGTGGAACAGGCAGAGCATAAAGGGGGAACCTCTGGAGGAGGCATCATCTGAGTAGGCCCTGAACTATGGGGAGGGTAAGATGCAAACTGTTGTCTGCGCGTGGGGGCTTGGGAGAGACAGGCAAAAACTCTCCTCACCATCTAGGGAAATTTCTGAGGACAGTAAATGGTGTTCTAAGGATCTGGGATCATATGAAGGATCCCTTGGGGGCCA